AAGTATGTACATGGGTGCCTTGAACACCTTCAAGCGCTTTTAATATCCTTCCACATTTTGATATAAGGGGAAACTGCATAGTAAGCATTTATTAAGTTGTTAGATGGAAAAAAATTTAGACATCAAGACATTACATATTAGGGACGAAGGGAGTATTTCAGTACAAAAACATCAAAATGGTTTTCCTAATGTTCGGTTTTACATTGGAGGCTACATATTAGAATTAAATTTGATTAATTAGTACTTCAGTTTGTTACATATATTTTGTGATTGAAATATATCACTTAATTAGTACGGCATATGAAGACACGAAAAAGAGCAAAGAATACCTTATGAAGGTGGAATTCTACTCCATCTACGACCAAAGAAACATCACTTGGCAAACTTGCATTGCAAAACCTGTCAAATGCATTGTAAAACCTGTCAAGCTTTCATTTCAAATCAAATCTTAATACAATATAGTTTTGTCTAATCCACATTTGGAGAAGAAGGTGGAACTAAGTGACCAAGTCAACTCAACGAGCCAAGATCCTAGGTACCAAACCAAAACAAGCAAGATCCACCACATCTCACTCAACTTTGGGGTTTAAACTCTGTAAAGAAATATGTATGTAGACCATATCTCCATGGCAAGACGTAGAAAGGCTATTCTAGAGAAGACCCGACAAATTATGAAGAGATGATTAAGGGCCTAAGACCCTAGGTGGATGGGGCAAAATGTGAAATTGACTTAATACAAAACATGGTGAGCAGGAAAATCATAAATATCTTCTTGTATTAGTTGCCATAGTCCCTCCAACATGAAAACAAACACAAAATGACCTAGCAAATACTTAATTCCATATTTCCATAACACTTAGGATCACTGCTATAAATTCACAACTAGCCCACCTAGGCATTTGGCCTCCCATGTCCACTACGGCCTGAAGAAGTCAATTTAGATGCTATGGCACATTGCAGAGCACTGATTATATGGCACAGCTATCACATTACAGATAAATGCACCCACATACACATAAATATACAAATAGAGAAGACATCCCAAGAAAGAAGAAGCTAACATATTAACAAAAAATGGAAATGTGATTTTAAGACAGTGAAACAGGGAAGAAAGAGCATTTACCAGGCATTCCCCTGACGGTAGAAGGAAGTAGCCTTCCCAAGAGGCGCCATAGGTGATCCAACCACTTTTTTTCCTATTTCATGATATAAAAAGTAACAGAGCTCCCTCCTTTTGTCCTCGCAATGACAATCTCTGTGACCTAAAATTCAAATTCGTAGACAAGACAGCCCACCTAACACTTAGAAGGAGCTACAGGTCCAATAGAAGCCTTCCCCAGAGAGTCAAGACCCAAATTCACATCGGAATCACCGGATTAATTACAACAAAAAGAAATAAACAAAGATCCTCTCATTCTTCCAGGAACCCCACATCAGCCAAGACTGTGTCTTTTCCTGCATAAAGTGCGAATTACAGTCAATAAAGAAGTGGGTACATCGCATACGGTGCATATAAAGCTAAAGAGACAAGCGGCGACACTCAACCGGCGTCGAAAAAGCTAACCGAAAGATCAGGAAAAGAATCTCGATTTTCACGAATTCTCTGGGGGGTCGTCTGTTTGACCGGTAGCTTCTTATTATTAGGTAGTATGAAAGCAGGAATGAGAAAGCGGGAACGAGAGAGAGGGAAGAAGGGGAGGAGGGGCGGTGGAAAGAGAGCGGAAGGATGGAGACAAGAAGACATGGCTAATGATGAAATTTGGGGAGGTTGTGGTGGGGGGGAATGGGATGGGGTGAAAGTGGGAAGACGTGTAGTGGAAGACTGGACGACAGGGTGGATCACCATCACCATAATGTGAATGAGAATCGACGAATTTAGAAGGGGGTGGATTGGAGAGGAAGGAGGTAATTCCTTATAAAAAGTTCTAATGACAATGAGATCTCATTTAATTCTAATTATATTTAAAATTATTTTTTATTTTATTTGAATCGATCTGATTTTAATAAAGATAAGTAACTTGTTCTCTTAATTTGATCTAATTAGAATAAGTTTTGATCTGATCTGATTTAATTGTACAGAGTACTTATATTTAAAATTATTTTTGAAAAAATCATCATAAATAGAAATAAAACATAAAGTATAAATTTTGAATTTACCATTTCAAATTTTAGCACTTATAAATAATTAATCATAAAAGTTTCACATGTTACCTTTATTATTACATTGTACCAGAAATTTAAAGATATTAAATTATCTTATTAATAATTAATAATAATTAATAATTAAAGTTTTATATTTTAGCTTTTTTATTACACGGTATTAAATTTTTTAAGGTATCGAATTACCTTATTAATAAATAATAATTAATAATTACAGTTTCACTTGTTACCTTTTTTATTACACAGGGTACCATAATATTACATTATTATTATTATTATTACGTTTATTATTATTATTATTATTACACGGTACCATAATAATTAATACGGAGTAATTATTACTTACATTATAGATGACACTTACCAATTTAAGTTTTAGCACTTAACTTTTGTGATTGAGGCAGAAAATGTAATGAGAAAATCCCCTCTTTTTAAATGGAGTATAGATTATTATTATTACTATTATTATTACACGGTACCATATTCAGAAATCATCTTAAATATGACTAAAATATAGAGAAAAGTACCAAAATAAGACTTTCATGTTTTTTTCCCCGAAATAGCTAGGACTTTGCACTGTGGTAATGTGACTTAGCCCTTGGTAATGTGGCAGTGTACATGTGCACATTACTATACTTTTTTGGTAATGTATATGACCATGTTTGGTAATTAAGTCCTATTTCGGGAAAAAAACATGGAAGTCCTATTTTGGTATATTTTCAATGTTTTAGTCCTACTTTGGTCTTTCTCCCTACCATATTATCATTAAAATTTCACATGTTACCTTTTCTATTATTTTTATTATTATTGTTACGTTTATTACAATTAATTAGTGATTAAATTAAAATGAGTGATTACATTAAGTATATATTATAATGTAAATATTATTATAATATAAAATATGAAATCAAAGAAATGGCGGATGTATAAAAAATAAAAAATTTGAAGTGTTTACTTTTTTTGTGCTTATTACAGCTTGACTTGTTTAAAAGAAAAATAGAGTTTAGATTTGTTTACGGAGTGTATTATAATTTAGGGTGGAATTAGTCACAAGGTTCATTTTAGAAATGTGACCTTTTAACACTTTTAATGGACTAACATGTAGATCTTTTTCTTTTTTTGCAAAAGGTCCAACTATTTTACGATATATATTCATGCACTAAAGTCCATAAAACGAGCATGAACTTAAAAATCATGGAAGAACTTGCCTTGTAATCATGATGGTGTAAGCCTCCTAAACGGGGGAGGTAGGAGAGAGAGAGAGTGTGAGATATAAGAAGAAGAAGAGTACCGACTTATATTGTCTATATCAAAAAATAACAACCGGACTACAAGTGTTTCCACCTACAATCCTTTCGATTTATTTTGTCATGTGTTTCTCATGACATTGCTTAACAATGTTATAAGTAATGTCATGGGATGACCCAAGGACCGTACTGATGGTATAAAATGAGTACTAACTAAAACTATTGGAATGACGAGTATCCTTCTTTGGAGGTTCTGTTCGGTTCCGATTCTTCACTTGTTTCGATTTCGAGTATTTTGATTTTGATTTTTTTCTTTTTGGATTTTTATAAATCTTACATCATACTACTTCCTCTATGTAGAAATGAATTGATCTATTTTGACGATCAAATTTTATTTACTTTACGTGATTATTTTTCACAACTCATTTCATAATTTAAATAGTTATGTTACCCCTTGTTTTAAAGAATTTTAAAATAATTTTTAAATATAAATTTTATTTATTACATTTACACCTACAAAAAAATAAAGTAAATTGAAAATAAAGTTGGTCAAACATCCTAAATCAGAACAAGAAATTCAATATCGAGCAAATTGAAGGGAGTAATATTTGTTGGTAAATATTGTTAATCGACCTTAAGCAAAATTAAAATAAGCAATGACTCTCCGAAATGAGAGGTCATAAGTTCGAACCCCAGTGATGATAATAACTCTATGTGTTTGAAAATAATTTTCTCATTTGATTTTTCTTGGTAAGAAATTGTAAACTTTAACCTCAGCACATAGAAAATATATATTGTGTTTCAATATAAATATTATATTAAAAGTTTTTTTATTAAACGTAGTTTTAAAATATTAAATTTTTCTAAAATATATCTATATATAAATATAGATATTACGGTAAAAATATTGCATTTGAAACTGTAAAAAATCAAATGAAAAAAGTAGGTAAAATAAGCGCAAATTATACTGTACATCTGGCTGTACGGGAAGAATCTTACATCCGGCGATTAATTAGGGCGAACAGAGGAACTGCTGCAAGAACGACTAAATGGATCGACCATGAAGGAGGCTTTGCGATGGGACTCGTTGGATTCCCGATTGGCGATTTGTCGATGAAGGTCCAATCGGCGATTACACGATGAAGATGAAGGTTGTTTGGAAGTCCGATTGGCGATTGGAGGACGAAGGTATGATCAGCTGAACGCTGCTTGGATATGCGAAGATCTGATCAATTATGCTTCCAGTTGCTTGCGATGGTCTTCCGCTTCCTAGAGATCTTTTCTTCCACTTACCAGATTTCAATGACATATGAATGGTAAGTTGTTTAAAATTGAGTACTAGGTTATATGAGAATGAGTACTACTGGATTTTAGAATGAATATTATGTTATTTATAAATGAATATTGAAAAAATTTGTGAAAATGAGTATAACGTTATTTTTGAATGAGTACCGAGTTATTTTAGAATGAGTACCATGTTTTTCAAATGAACCATTATGCAAATGAGTAATACATGGATGTACGTATTTTTGTTTTTTTAAAATTAAAAACTAAATGGGTAGTATTATTCTGAAGTAGCCTGAGTGCCTGACTATCCAATTCGGCCCAGAAAGAGGGTTGCAGTCTCCATCGCGCCAGGCACGCTTCCCACACCTGCGAATATTCTCGCCGCCGGTTAGCCGTCTTTACCATCGGCCAACGACGCCGCCGCTAACACGCGGCATTCAGTGCTCCGTGCGACCGTTTCCATACGGCAGGTGAATCCTCCTCAAATCAGTTTTCTTTTCGCATTTTGTTTTATCATCCTAAATATTCTCTATTTGTTTAAATATTTTAGAAAATTACCAATTGTGTTTCGTGGATTTGTAAACTATGAATTTCTTACATGTGATTAGGTTAATTCTATATGAACATTATGAAGGTTTAGTTTTTTCTATTAATTTAATTAGTAAAGTGCGAATTAAAGGTAACTTCTTAGTTTTTTTTTAAATTATTTGAATTTTTTAGGATGCATAGGAATTTTATAAAGACACCAAAATTCAACGACCTTGAATCAATTGAGTACCAGTATAACTTAATTTGTATGCTTCTTAGTCTTTGTATCGACTGTTCGAGCAAACTAATGATTGACTAGTGACATACATAGAAAGAGATATTTTTGCTACCATTTTGGTAAAACACTTCCAGAATATGAAAACCAGATGCTACCAATTGTAAGCTACTACTCCACATATTTTATGTGCGCCATGTAAAACTATTATTGATTTTCAATGGATTTCAGAATTTTCACATTGTATATAACCTTTAATTTTAGGGATTACTTTTTTACTTGATGTTCAATGTGTGTCATGTGTGTACAAGTTTTCATGAATTTCCCCATGACCTAAATTTCCCTTGTTCGCCCCTGAAAATGCAGAATTATTAAGCCAGCTACTTCCAGAAGTAAAAACTGTACTTTCTTCTTTTAGCTGAAGATTTATTTATGCATAAATAGTGGATTTTATCTGTTAGAGTAACCCAACCAACCATCATTTTTATCATCCAGATGAGGGTTCGTAGAGTATCTTCACGGTGGACGGGTGGGATTACTAGTCCGGATTCAGATCCATATGGAGTACATATATAGATGTGATTTGCAAATTGCCAGCTATTGTATTTGAAATTTAAACAGATTTGTTATTTTCCAGGGTAATAAAATTGAAGAGTTGGTTATTTCATTTGTGATTTCATCATGTGAGTTTTTTATAATGGCAACCATTCATGCATGCAGGTATAATCATGAGTTCAAAAACTAAGAGGAGGACCGTGACAGAGAATGGCGATACAACCGAGGATACTGTTCTGGTAACTATGATAAATAATGGAGATGATTTAGGTCCTTTGGTGAGGCATTCTTTTGATGGTGGGAAGCCGGAAGCGCTCCTACATCAGCTTAAAAATGTTGTCAAGAAGAAAGAAGTTGAAATAGAGGAGCTTTGCAAACTTCACTATGAGGTTTTTATTCTTGCTGTGGATGAGCTTCGTGGTGTGTTAGTTGATGCTGAAGAGCTCAAAAGTGAACTTGCCACTGATAATTTTAGATTACAAGAAGTTGGAAGCTCCCTACTCTTGAAACTCGAAGAGCTTCTTGAGTCCTATTCCATTAAAAAGAATGTTACCGAAGCCATTAAGATGTCCAGGAGTTGTGTCCAAGTGCTGGAGCTTTGTGTCAAGTGCAATATCCACATTTCTGAAGGTCAATTTTACCCTGCTTTGAAAGCTTTAGATGTAATTGAGAAAAGTTATTTGCAGAACATTCCTGTGAAGAAGATCAGGGCAATCATTGAGGCAAGAATACCGTTAATAAAGTCACACATTGAGAAGAAAGTTTGCACTGAAGTGAATGAGTGGCTAGTCCATATAAGGAGCACTGCCAAGGATATTGGTCAGACTGCCATTGGATATGCAGCATCAGCTCGTCAGAGGGATGAAGATATGCTGGCTCGTCAAAGGAAGGCCGAGGAACAGAGTTGTTTGGGTTTGGGAGATTTTACATATAGCTTGGATGTGGAAGAAATCGATGAGGAATCCATTTTAAAATTTGATCTCACACCACTTTACAGAGCGCACCACATTCACAAATGTCTTGGAATCGCCGAGCAGTTTCGTGAATACTACTTCAAAAACCGATTCTTGCAGCTAAGTTCAGATTTACAGATTTCTTCATCCCAACCATTTCTTGAATCACATCAGGCCTTTTTGGCTCAGACTGCAGGGTATTTTATTGTTGAGGATCGGGTAATGAGGACTGCTGGGGGGCTTCTATTACCAAACCAACTCGAAACAATGTGGGAAACTGCAGTTACCAAAGTTACTTCAGTCCTGGAGGAACAATTTTCCCATGTTGATAGCGCCAGTCATCTTCTCTTGGTCAAAGACTACGTCACACTCTTTGGGGCAACCCTTAGACAGCATGGCTATGAAGTCAGCTCAATCCTCGAGACACTCAACAGTAGTCGCGAGAAATATCACGAACTGCTTTTGGCAGAGTGTCGGCAGCAAATCATTGATATAATCACTAATGATACTTATGAACAGATGGTAATGAAAAAGGAGTCAGAGTACCAAGCAAATGTATTGGTGTTCCATCTTCAGACCTCTGATATAATGCCAGCATTCCCTTTTATTGCCCCTTTCTCTTCAATGGTACCTGATTGCTGTCGATCGGTTAGAACATTCATCAAGGATTCAGTTAATTATCTATCTTATGGAAGCCAAATGAACTTCTTTGATTTTGTTAAGAAGTACTTGGATAAACTCTTAATTGACGTCCTAAATGAAGCAATACTCGATACGATTCACAATGGCACAACTGGTGTGTCTCAGGCAATGCAAATTGCTGCAAATATAGCTGTTCTTGAAAGAGCATGTGATTATTTTCTCCAACATGCTGCCCAACAATGTGGGATACCTGTCCGATCTGTGGAAAGACCTCAAGGCAGTTTGACTGCCAAGATTGTTCTAAAAACATCAAGGGATGCTGCATATCTTGCTTTGTTAAGCTTGGTGAATGCCAAGCTGGATGAGTTCATGTCACTCACTGAAAATGTGAACTGGACAGTAGAAGATGCTCCTCAGCAAGGAAATGAGTACATTAACGAGGTGCTTATTTACCTGGACACTCTTATGTCCACTGCTCAGCAAATTTTACCTCTTGATGCTCTATATAAAGTTGGGAGCGGTGCACTTGAGCATATTTCCAACTCAATTGTAGGAGCATTTCTTAGTGACAATGTGAAAAGATTCAACGCAAATGCTGTGGTTGGCATCAATGGGGATTTGAAGGCATTGGAAGCTTTTGCTGACGAGAAGTTCCATAGCACTGGGTTGAGTGAGATATATGGTGAAGGAAGTTTCCGAGGATGCTTGATAGAGGCTAGACAATTGATAAACCTTCTGCTAAGCAGTCAACCGGAGAACTTCATGAATCCTGTGATTAGGCAGAAGAACTACAATGCTCTAGATTATAAAAGGGTTGCTACTATTTGTGACAAGTACAAGGACTCTGCTGATGGAATGTTTGGAAGTCTTTCAAGAGGAAATGCCAAGCAAAGTGCCCGGAAAAAATCTATGGACATGCTGAAGAAAAGACTCAAGGATTTCAACTGAGAAATCCTAATATATGGATTAGGAAGTAACATTTTTTGTGTGGCTAAAAATAAATGAAACTCTTTTATTTTATGCTGATTATTTAAATTTATTCACTTTATTGAGCTGAACCCTTAACCTGTCCTGATCCCATGATTTATTTCCTCTTCATTTCCCCTTTTCCTAATTCCATTTTGGTGTTAGTATGAAGAAGAGAAATAATGCTGCCACTGATTTGCTGGAGTAAGTGCAGTGTATTCCAGAGCTGCTATTTCAAAAAATAACACTTTCGCCAATTCCCACAGCTGCAATTAGTATTTCAAGGTATGCATGATCATCATGGGCATGAGACTAGCCCCCTCCACCAAATATTCCGTCCATTCAAAGGTAAATTCATCCATTACTCTTGCTGATCTGTTTGGATAACATTTGGAAATTCTGCTTAATCGATTTGTTTGGATGTTAAGAGTGCATTCCTAATTGGAGACTTGGAGGAAGAAGTCCATGTCGAACAATGTTCCAGATTTGAGCAAAATCATAATGGAGATCTCGTCTATAAGCGCAAAAGGCACTCTATGGACTGAAGCAAGCACCTAAAGCATGGTACAAACAATACTTTGTGACAATTCCTTCCTAGCAATGCATTCAAACAAAACTATCTCCAAGCTCAGTGATGGTGAAGGTATATTGCTTATGCAAATGTATGCTGATGATATTATATATGGCTCAATAAAATAAGATCTCTGCTCCAAATTCTCTTGCCTCATGCAAAACAAATTTGAGATGAGCATGATGGGTAAATGGAGTTATTTTCTCGATCTTCAAATCAATGAGAGACAAGATGGAATCTTTCATCAACCAAGCCAAGTACCCCAAAGACTTGATCAAGAAATTCAAAATTGACCAAAATCCTCCATGTCGATCCTTATGTGTGCATGTACCAAGCTTGACATGGATATGGATGTGACCAAATTCTCCACAGAATGAATTGGCCACGATACATCTTTTTCATTTGGTGTATGCGCACGATTCCAATATAAATCTAAGCAAAACCATTTGATTGCATTGAAGGGAATCCTTGTATACTTAGGGACTCTAAGTATATATTGGTAAGTGGTTTTGAGCTAATCGGATATTCAAACTTAGATTTTAGGATGCAAGGTTGAGAGGAGAATCACATCCAGGACCTATCAATTCACTGGAGAGAAGTTTGTTTCAGTAAAAAACAATTCAATATCCATATGTACAGCTAAAGTCGAATCCATTGTTTTTGGAAGTTGTGCACAAATCGCATGTACGAAGCAACACCTATTATACTATGAAGTTAAAATGAAACAACACACTTTGCTTTGTGAAAATCACAGTATCGACCATCACAATTACACAAAATTCAGTGCACTACTCTCGTACCAAACACATTGATATGACCATCACTTCATATGCGATCGTGTAGAGGAGAAGGATATTAAGCTTGAATATGTAGCTATTGAAGAGCAATTGGCATATTTCCACTAAATCATTATGTGAAAATAGATTCTACGCCTTATTACACGAATAAGGTTAATATCATTTGACTAGCTTCTAAAAAGATTCATAAGAGGTTTATAGGAAATCTAGTTTCTAGAATGGTTAACCTAAAACAGATAATCAAAATAGATGGTTGTTGGTATTGAAAGAAAGATATATGAGTCATGATATAGAATTAGCAATTTCGAATTTGAGAATATAGTTCTTGTAAAGTGTGTGGTTGCCAATAAAAGGTGGGGGGGGGGGGACCTTATTTTTGACACCATAGTGTCTCACAATCACATAAACAATAATTCTCTGTGCAGACATTATCTCTATGTGTATATGAGACATTATGTTGTCGNCCCCTAACATGGTTTGGTTGCCAAATTTCTTAGTATATTAGCATCAGCTATGGAAAAGTAGATGAAAGTGTGAACCACATTTCCTGATATTGCAATGATTAATGATATTTGCCTAAAGGAGGTGGCTAGTGACATTTGCCCAAAAAAGCAAAACACCTCTAAACTCTTCCCATCCAATTTGAACATTTTTTAGTCGAACATTTATTTTAAGTTAAAATAATATAAACCGGATACCCGTATTAGACCGACTTGATTCCTTTTACAGGCGGGCTTAATTTGGCTTATGTGGTGTTGATATATGTACTCAACGCGCCCCTTTGTCCAATATTAATAACTTTAAATTACAATCATATGATGTGGAGTACTATACTTTGAAGGTGTTTGGAGGTGTGTTCAAAAATGCTTTCCTAGCTTCTTCACTAAAACATTATTCTAAGTGTTCGCCAATTTGTTTTAGCTTATGAACGATAGCTTCGAAAATACAAATTGAGCTATACGTACAAATGCTTTTCAACGAAACTAAGAATATCTGCTTTTCACTTTTGATTTAGCACTTATATTTGACACCACAGTGTCTCACAATCATATAGAGTTAATTTTTGTGCAAGCACTATTTGTATGTGTATGTGAGACATAATGTTGTCGAAGTTGGAGTTTCCCTAACATGATTCAATTGTCAAATTTCTCACTCTCCCGTCCCAATTTAAATTGCTTGTTTCAGTTTACAATGTTTGACTGAAATTACTTTCAAACCATTTTATTTGAAAACTTGTGTAATTAAAAAATAAAAATTATATATTTAAACACTAAATCAAAAGATCTACAAACTAGTGATGACATGATAGTAAACAGATAATTTAATTTGGGACGAAGGAAATAGTATATATCAACTATGGAAAAGGAGATGAAATCTTAATCATGTTTCATGGAATTGTAGTTATTATTTATTAATGATGTTTGCCTAGAGGGGTGGCTAGTGACATTTGCATGGTTGCCAAAAAAACAAAGCACCTCTAAACTCTTCCCATCCAATTTGAGTTTTTTTAGTCGAACATCCAATTTAAGTTAAAATAATCTAAACCAGATATCCATATTAGACTCACATGATTCCTTTTACGGACATGCCTAATTTGGTTCCCATGGTGTTGATACAAGTACCCAACCCGCCCCTCTGTCCAATATTACGGAGTAATAACTTTATAATATGATCATCTGATGCGGAGTACTATACTTCGAAAGTGTTTGGGAGTGTATTTGAAAGTAATCTTTGAGCTTCTTCACTAATCATTTTAAGTGTTCTTCAATTTGCTTTAGCTTATGAATTACACTTTCGAAAGTACAAATTGAGTTATACAAGTGCTTTTCAACAAAGCTAGGAATGTCTGTTTCTCACTTTTGATTTAGCACTTTAATTTTCTCAAGAAGGCAACATACTCTCAAACACCCTACCCATAGTAAATGAGTTTTATCCTTTTGGGGGGTTTAGTGTACACAACAAGATAAAGGGATAAACAGACTCGACAATTTGGTACGTGTCGTGTTAGAAATGTTTAGGAACAAAGAATCTGCGACATTTTATTTCCTACAAAATAATTAAATTAAGAACCCATTGCTATAGGCAACCTCTCATGGTTCATTACAACTCCCAGCTGTGAATCTCTTCTGTCTCAAGGAAAGGTACAGTGGCATTCACTAATAATAAAGTGCAATACATTGGGGGAAAAGAGGAACATGAGTTGCGGAGCATTTTTTTTTTTACTCGGAGGAATATATTGTATCCATGTAGCGCTTTACGAGGGATAGGTGGCGTTTACCATTTTACCCTCAGCTTGCAATAGGCTTTGAAATTGCCTTCTTGATTGCCTGTGCATATGTTCTGTGTTGGTATGTGAGTGTGGATTCAAGCAAGTCCCATAAAGAAGTCTTTGGGTTCCAGCCTGGCCATCATATCCAATCCATCTCATTAGATTTATAATGATAACAATAATAATAAAATAAATCACCCAAAAATAGGAGTAAAACAGTAATATTATTCCCTAAAATAAGAGTATCATGTTTTTATCTACAAAATAGGACTTTGTATTGTGGACAATGTGACACTTTATATTGGCATTCAACATTTTATTTTGATACAATATGTTTACATCATTGGCATTATAAGTTCTACTCTGGAGATAAAAACATGAAGGTCATATTTTGGAGATAAAAACATAAAGGTCCTATTTTGGAGATAGAAATATGAAGTTCCTAATAATAATAATAATAATAATAATAATAATAATAATAATAATAATAATAATAATCTTGAATCTTCTTAGTATTATGTTTATTTCAGGAGAAACAAAATAAAGGATGGAGAAGAGAGAGTACCAAGCTGTCTATTAATTATGGTCATGTCTGGGATTCGTTTGTCACTGTCGTCGTACCCCTCCCCGTAAAATTCTTTAGAGCTTATATCAATTGTTGGTGTTTCGAGAGGGTCTTCCCCGCTCACATTTGAATAGATCTAATATAATGATGCACCAAACAAGAAAAAGAAAAGAAACTAAACACAACTGATACTGACATGTGATGTGCTATTAAAGTATGTACTCTGACCATCCAAAGAAAAATACCTTTGTCATCATTTCAGCAAGCTGCCTGACCGTAACTTCATTGTTAGGATTTCCCACGTTAAAAATATGCCCATTGGCCCTAGCGGGATTTTCCTGGAGATAAAATCAAACTATCAGAACAAACTTTTGTGATATGAACAGAAGATACACATTGAAAGGAACATTATTGGGCCCACGATCATCAAAAGAACAGCTTCAATGGCATCCTTGATATAGACAAACGTTCTCTGGGACTGCCCTCCATCAACAAGCTTCAGCGGTTCACGCCTTAAAAGGTTCTACACCAATGAGGAATCAAGATGATGAAAATTGAAAACACATAATAGAGAAACGGTTAATAAATACGAGTATATTTTTTTGTTAACAAAAGATAGCATACATTACTGAAGCATGCTAAAACTCTGGGAACACCCTCACTAGGTCCATCAATGCCAGGAATGAAATCCATCCTAGGACCAATCCAGTTGAAGGGCCTCACAATTGTAAACTCTAGGCCATTCTCAGCCCCCTCAGCTGTTAAAAGAATCTTCGAATTTAGAAACGTTGAGACGATCCAAAATTCCATAAAATCTAGATCACAACTCCAAAATCAAAATATACTCACCATAAACCAACCGCTCAATCAATTGCTTTGCACACGCATATGACCATCTTTGCTTCTCAATTGAGCCAAAAATGCAAGGGGATGCATCTTCCTTGAGGACATAGTAGGAAGGATCCTAATAGATACGAAAGATTCAGCAAATGGTACTAGAAGATTTCAAACTTGTTTCTCAGAGAATGTAAGCCAAACTATAAACAATGAGAATGAAACAATTTGGAGTAAATTTGAACTTGATGAGTCTTATCGTGTATCAATCTTACTATAACAGTAATTCAGAGTCAAAATGTACATAGATTGTAGTGTTCAGAATTACTTTGTAATAGAGAGAAACACAACCATAGAATTCCTATATTCCTTATTTCCGTCAGTCCCAAAAAAACTTTACCACTTTTTTTCATGGAGTTTAAGAATAGTGTTAAAAAAATAAAAAATCAATGGTTAGAATCTATTTACTTGAGAAGAAATCTTGTGAGCTGCTGGAATGTCCAAGAAGGGAAAGTGAGTAAATGTTTTTGGAACGGAGGGAGTAATTTCTTATATAGATCTTCACGCTAAAGGCACATCAATGTTCCCCATTCCCCAGATACTTGTTACTACATATAGTTTAAATGCATTACTTAACTAAGAACAAAATAATTTCAGGGAAATGGATAGCTTGCCAATATATGTAGCATACATTTGAAAATCTGAATTGCATATCTATTCTAGATATGCCCATGATTGGATATTTAGAGATCCTTAATAGCCTTACGAAAAGATGAGATGCAAACTCATTACTGTAGTTAAAGTACTCGACACACGAAGCAGTGATCAACTCACTTTCATCATATGAACACACATACTCATACTTTACTTAAATGCTGAATATCTCATGGGAAACGCATACATCAGATCAGCTGATGAGTAATCAACTCACACCTATGCAAGGTATTATGCAGATCTCTAGCACTATATATTATAATTATAAATGAAGAGCATCATACATCATTAAAAAAGGATATAAAATCCAACCACTGTACTATGTTCAGTTCTCAAGCTTCGTGATTCATACTCTACAATATTGACACAACACTAATCTCACCTGCCGCAATGGACTATCCTTGGGTAAGAAGGAACCAACGGTTTTCCCATAAACTTCACATGTGGAAAAGTGAATTAGTCGTTTTCCATTCTCAGAACAGTACTTGACCTGAAAAAAAACCCCAGTGTCAGACCATGAACTTCAAGAAATTGATTCAATCTAGGCAGGTGTATCTTCAACGTCAATGAAAATAGTTGAAGTCCTTTTGAAAGTGAACCTGTGCTAAAGATTCAAAACTATCAATCAAAGTACTGCGCCAAAGCAGAACAATGCATACCACGGGCAGAGCATCTATGAAGTTGCTATAAATTGTGTCCAGAGGGCGCGTGTTATAATCAGCTGGTGTGCATATCGCAGCAAGATTTATTGTCTACATAATTAGAAAAGAAGAAGAAGTATCCAGATTTAGCAAAACAGACTCTCTTATGAGATCTAGCGTTATAAAGTCAAGAACAAGCAGCTTTCCTGTTATTACAGGTGGGAAGAAGAGAATATAATAACAAATCAGATGAAGGCCATATTAATGTCTACTACTCCTTGTAATACTAATACGAGTATCAACAAAAGCCTCGGTATGAAGCATACACGACCGAAAAATACATAAGTCAACAATAAATTAAATGAAGCGGGAATACTCTAAGATCCAAGAAGGAAGAAGAAGATAGACACAAAAAAAAAAAGCAATGTTCCAGAATTGCAAAATCTTAAAAAACTCATAGGAGGCGGATTTCTCAATATCCACATTCCAGTGCCGAAATGCGAACATGCATTGCTAGAAACGAGAAGAGAGGGGTGAAAATTACCAGATCTGCCATTTTGATGAGGCCTTCAAGGCGAGAATCGTTTTTTATATTGAGGCGGTGGAACTGGATTCGATCGGCCCAAGCAGAGGAGCCAGGCTCGAGGAGGTGCTTGATCTTGTCATTATAAACATCCACCGCCAGCACCTTGTGCTGCGTCTCCGACATGAGCTTCTCGCAGAGGTGAGATCCGATGAAACCTGCGGCGCCGATCATACATATCGTCAGAGGCTTAATCGGATTGCCGTCCAGATCTACTCTCCCGGCCATTTCCGCTTCTGTAAGATCAGCAATTATCTCCGCCTCTCGAGTTCACGGGCGGTGATGCTTTTTTGCCTTGTGACAGACTCACACACTGTAGATTTCGTGCTTGACGGTGGGCGGGGGGAAGAAGGTAAAGGGGAATTTGGGATATTTAAAGCTGGAAAAGCGAGGGAGCCAGCCTGGGGCTTAACTGCATTAATCACCGCGTTTTTGCTCAAATTGTTATTCGTCTCTATAGTTTGTTGAACACGTGCTGCTAGTTGTTTTTGAAAGGATTGCTCCTATGATACATTGAGAGCATTCACAATGGCAAATAAAGAATTGGAATGCCACACGTTGACGTGGCAAAATTGGACTAATTACAAATTACACGGTCATTTTTTAAATTTTTAATTTAATTTAAAAAAATTAAAAAAGGAGCGTGGCAGCTTGAGTCTACCTCACTTCCCGTGGAGGAACGCCCAAAAAACGCAAGGCATAACTGACGTGGTGTGAGGGATCTGCGGATGTGGCAGCGTGCCAATTAAAATGGCACGCCATTGCCATTGCTCTGATAAAATGGTCCTTTATAAAAATGTGTTTTTCTAATTCAATTTTCAATAAATTTTAATTATCTATATGATCTTCTATAATTGAGATTTATTCTTAAGATAATCCTTCATAAATAATGTTACTCAATTGATGATTAATTGGGAGATATTTTGGTATTTTGATCATCTAAATTTAAAGTATATTCTTGAAATATATTTATGTACAACTACATGTAAAATTGAAAAATACATTGACTATAAATAATTCATAAATTATTTAAAATTTATAAGAAATCTTTTAAATTTCAAATCAAATACATATCTTTAATTAGAAAAAACCATTTTGGGAAATCACTTAATTATAAATGATCATTTTAAGAATTAATTCTAAATTTAGCAGATAAAAAATATCAAAATACCCTCAATTACTTACGAAGGACTATCTTGGGAATAAATCTTAATTATAGAGGATTATGTGGCCATGTAGGTAAATTAAAACTTATTGAGGACTGATTTGGGAAAACACCTTATCATCAAGGACTATTTTGGTAATTACTCTATCTGTTGAGTGCATATTATTTTTGTATTTTTTATTTAAAAAAACAAATACTTATCTAAGTAGTAAAAAATATTTATTTTGCTTATATATAGGTTCATGATGAACCTTAGATCTACCATACAATTTGCGTTTTGGGAAAAAAGAATTTATAAGAGCAAAACATAAATAATATCCTCAAAAATGAGACCTTAAGCAACTCTTTTAAATTTTGACTAATTAACCTAATCTAAAAAAATAATCTAATCTCATACTCGTTTTTAATTTATCGCCAAAGTTAAATTTTACAAAGTTTGAGAAAATATTAAATGTTAAAATGAGTGATTAAAATTTGACTAAAAAATTTAAAAACCACACATCCTTTACTTTATTAGAAAATTAAAGAAGTGATACAATTATATTGAGACGGACAAAAATGAAAAGTGAGATGATTAATTCGAGACAAAGAGAGTACCATACATATCACATCACCTTCTATTATTATAAATAGCCGTTGACTCATCTTGTAACACCCCAACCCGCGTAACCCAAACCCGTGAAATAGCAGACCGGTGTGCCACTGAATTGGCATCCGAATATACAACATTTTCAAAACAATTTTAAACAAACGTTCTATCAATACATATAAAAATCCATCGGAGTAATTTAAAATAATGCGGAAGCCTTTTTAAAGTCAAACAACTTGGGATCTTGTCTGAAAACGTAATAAGCATTAAAGTTAATTAAATAAAGCATAATCAACAGATTAAAGAGACAGCCACGCCATCGTACATCTCCTCCTCAATGCCCTCTGGGATCGGCTCTAGGTTCATCTGTCTGATCACCTGCGGACAGCAAAAAGGAAAATAACGCTATCCGCTCAGCATTGACGCTGAGTGGCACTCCATTGTAGCACAAGAATAAACATAATAATTCAACAATTGAGATCGTGCATATGTTTATCCTTTTAATAAAAATCAATTCAACTTTACGTTCGGTTCTTTAGACGGTTGACCAACAGTCAACTTATTTTCTTTCTTTCCAAAATGATTTAGGTGTTACGGGTTTCTCATTAACTCTTTGACCACCGGTCAAACCAATTTAGACTTTCACCAAAGTCAAACCACTTAACATTTAATGCCTATGACGGAGATAGCCTCAATCCGTAATACCGAAGATAGCCTCAATTCGGTGGAGGTAGGATCCCTCGGGCGATAGCCTCAAACCCAAGATCACAGACTCTCGTGCGCACGTCTTAACCTCACTGACCAGGCCCTGCAGCCGCCCGAGCAATGGCCAGTTTCTATGTTCGACATAATAAACCAATTGACCTTAATCACCGATTAGAATTAATTAATTAACTTAACTAATTCATTAAAGTCTTGGATTTAACCATTCGGTCAAACCTACGTCGACAGAATATCCAGTCAAAGCCTAAGTCAAACGTGACCTAACCCNCCTCAAACCCAAGATCACAGACCCTCGTGCGCACGTCTTAACCTCACTGACCAGGCCCTGCAGCCGCCCGAGCAATGGCCAGTTTCTATGTTCGACATAATAAACCAATTGACCTTAATCACCGATTAGAATTAATTAATTAACTTAACTAATTCATTAAAGTCTTGGATTTAACCATTCGGTCAAACCTACGTCGACAGAATATCCAGTCAAAGCCTAAGTCAAACGTGACCTAACCCAAGTCAAAGTCAAACCTGTTCAGTCAATTCACAATCCTCAACAATTCAATTCAAATAAGCAATTTAATTCAATTAACCAATTTAGCCAAAATATAGCATAAACACATATAACGATCCAAACCATTAAATCTATTCTAAATGCTATTAACTTCATAGTACGGATCTAGATTTCGCCGAAATCGAATCGATAGCTCGAACGGAAGACAAATCAACGAAATCAAACGAACGGGTCAAATTGAGTCAAAATGCGAAATCGACCGATCAATCTGGCGTGGAGGTTAATCTGCCGGCGATATCAACTCGGGGCAGCGGCTGGATGCGGCGACGACGACGGACGCCGGCGACAGTGGCGGAGCAGCAACTCGACGGCGATGAGCAGCGACTGGCGGCGCTGCAATTCGTCAGCGAGGAAGGACGCCGGCAGTGGAGGCGACGTCCGGCAGAACGACGAGGTGAACCGTCGTCGGCGGCACTGATGCTGACGGCAGTCCTCTGGCGAAGGAAGCAGCGGCGGCGACTGGCTGGGGAAGGGCGACCGGCGCTGGCAGTTCGTCGGCGATGATGGCGGCTGTGCTAAGGCGAAGGTGCAACTCGGCGGCGCTGGGCAGCGACTGGCAGCGCTGCAACTCGACGGCGGCAGACGACCGACGAAGAAAGCAGCGGCGGCGATTGGACTCGACGGCGATGATGATGGTCGCCGGTAGGGGAGGCGACGTCCAGTGGCGAGGCGCGACGTTGGAGGCGGAGGTCGGACAGCAGGGATGACGACCGGCGGCTGGCTCACGGCGGCGATGATGGCTGGGGAAGACAAAGAAGAAAGAAGGAGAAGAAGAAGAAGAAGAAGAAGAAGAAGGACGAACGAAGAAGATAAGGATCGAGTGGTTTAAATTAGTTTAGGTTTATTTAATGGTCCCATTCCAAAAAGGATTGGGCTTCGGACCCAAAATACCTGATTAAATGGTCATAACATGAGCTCCATAACTCCGATTCGCGAGCCGTCTGAACCGACGCGATCACAAAAATATTTCCTACGAGATGACATAAAATTTGGGCTTAGAATCCAAATTATAATTTTAACCCCTTTTTAGGTCCAATTCGTAATCAATTGCTCTAACAATTTAATTAATTCTTTTGGGCCAGATTTCGGGGCGTTACACATCTCCTTTGCGCAATCTTCTTTGCGTAGTTCCCTATGCCCTCCACCATTGTATCTGCGTGAAGATGCTTCTACCACACTCCATTCCATCTCTGTTCCTCTTGCGCAAACAATCTCCTTATGCCCCTCCCCGCTATTACCGTTGCTTCTTCAAAATTATGCTTGATAAGGCTGAACATGTCGCACAGACTATAGACATGAAACAAGGATCTAAGCATGATAAAAAGGACTGAGATTTCCTATGATGTTCATTTTTTGAGATTCATATCTTCACCTCGATAACACTGCCCCCCTAATGGCTTCGCTTGTAGGATTGAACTGTATAATGTCACTTTCCTCGACAAACGTCCTAGAAGATCTAAGCTTGATAAGGTCGGGTTTGCTGTGTAGACCTCTGACTGAGAGGATTCAGTCTTCCTTATTATATCAATGGTCATAATGGAGAGATGAAAAACTAAATGTGAACCTTCTACCGGACAAAATATAATTAGTGTTTTAGGTTGAGTACTTGTGATTTAACTTAAGTTCTCTATCTCAATCTATAATAGTGTCTCAAACATCATGCATGGTATCAAAGTTAAGGTTCTCTAATTCAGAACCCAAGCCCCTGTCGACTTTCTCCCTTTTCCGATTGACCATTCGTTCCATGACTAAAAACATGGATCCTCTTGATTCTCTTCCTACAAGGTTGAAGCTCTTTATTAGAGAAATCATTCTCTAAACCTAGAAAAACTCGACGATACAAATCTTTTCCCTTTGTTCATTATAATATTTGCAAATCTCTCAACTCATTGACTCATGAACTATGATACGTTGATGGAACTTTATTGGCCCAACCCGCCACTGTGACAATTGCCACTGAAAAAGAACAAGCAGCGGTGGATACCTTCCTTGTTCCAAACCTTGATTTTGAGACATAGTTCGTTATTGATGCTCAACTCCGTACATGTTTGTTTGTAGTCATTAATCCATCTGTATAGAATTACCTTCATGGTCAAAACACCACAACGACTATATGGACTTGTTTTCAGCTTTAGTATAATTACATCTCATGTACTCATATTTTCCAATTAAAAAATAAAGTTCACAATATACAAAAAGGTGGGGATTTCTTACAAAAATACCATGTTGCTGCTGTTAAAATTGTTGTTTCTTTGAATCGTGCTTAATCTAACATTCTAGAACAAGATGTGATCCTATGTCATGTTTGCAGGTTTCGGACCAAATATTATTCCATCAAATAGAATATCCAGACAAATATTGACATCGTCGCTATGGTAGAAGCCACCTCTTGATTGTTAATCGAAGAAATTAATCGAGGCTACCTCTTCAACCACCATCCGTGACATTCATATGGCCATGTACGCCAACTTAGGCTTCCGCAGTTGTAGGAGAGGATTGAACCGCAATCGAGGTGGTTCTGCCAGTCGTGGCAATCAGCTCAGTGGTCGAGGTAGCTTTCGTAGCAGAAACAACTACTCTAACCATGGTTGTGACAACAATTCTTTATGTGGTCGGGGACCCCACATGAGTGTGTTATTTGTGGAAATTGAGGTAAATACAATCACGCTGCATACGATTATTGATATTGTTTTAATTTTGAATGTGTTGGACCATCTACCTCTTCATCTCAAGCGCTCTTTGTTTCTCAAATTGTTGGTTTCAATGGAATTTGATTTTTTGATACAAGTGCTAAAACCTATGTTGCTCTAGATTTGTCTCAGGTATATTCTTACAATGTATACTCTGGCATTGACACGATAATTAGTGTAGATGCATGACCATCCTTTTCATATTGCTCATACTGGCTCATGAAAAATATCCACTTTCTCTGTCATTTTTCATCTTACTAACCTACTGTTAGAAATATCAAATAAGTGTTTGGATTCTCTCAAAGACGTGTTAACACTTTTTTATTGAAATTATTCATCAGTTCACATAAATTTTTCAATAAGATACAACTCAAAGAGAATTATAGAACTAAATAAGAACTTGTGATGATTTTTGAATCTATATATTTTCGACCAACCTACAAGATTTTTTTATAGAAGCGGGGAAGAAGAAGAAGTTCTGTTCGCGACTCCTTTCAACGACTGTGTCTAATCGCGCGAAGTGATAAGATGAGCTCGTTCGAATTTCCTTGGACCCTGTAAGAATTGACGCCCCTTAAACCCCGCTCTCGGGGGTTCTGCCCAATTGGAACCCCCATTAACATACTTAGAGGCAAAATAATTGAGGGATGTTGTGGTCATTACATATTTCTTTTGAGTGTGTAGGAATATAGTTTTAGGACATAGAAAAAAAAAGTAAGAGAATAATTTTAGAACGTAATTATAAGAATAAATTACAATTTTTGAAAAAAGAATTTTTGAAAAATAAAGTAGATAGTGGGAGAGGGACAGAAGCAGGAGAAGAAGGGATGGATTACAATCTGGCCGCGCTGAAGCTCCTATGCTCACACCTCAACACCGCCACTGAGACTAAAACCTCTCACTCTCAGACCGCCTTTTCTCTGTGCGGAATTCTCTTCCAGCGCGCTTGGATTCAGGTTCCTCCTCCTCTCTCTGCGAGTATGTATGTATCATATGCATCTTGACTTTCCCCAATCGTGATGCAGGGGGTTTTGGTCTCAACACCGTCCACCTCTGATGACGACGCCGGCCGCTTCCTCCTCGACGACGGCACCGGCGTTATCCAACTTGTGCTCTCCAGCGAGTACCTCCAGCATGATGCCTGGAAATTAGGTATACGCAATAACTCGCTTCCCCTCCAATTGAATAGAATTCCCTGTTTCGTCTTTCCTCGTTCATTATCTTCACTTATGTGCGCTTGTAGGTATGTATGTAATGGTTGTAGGAGGATATTCAGTTCGAAAAGATGGCACCCCGTTCATTAAGGTGAGCAATTGAGAAAATAGATTCCTCTTTTTTTCCAAGCTTTTCTTTGTTTTTGCTGTGAATTGGTTGGATTGTCACTTCTAGTTTTGGATTCTAATTTGAAATCCATGCGTAATCACAAGCATGAATTTTTTAATTTTCTAGTGTGTGTGGTTTTGAGGATTCTAATTTTGGCAAGAGAACATTTTTGTTATTTGGGATAGGCGATTCTCCTCTTGTGGTTGGTGTTGCCCATCTCAAGTTATTTGGGATAAGGCTTAGTTGAAAAATCTCTTGTGGGGGTGAAATTTTGATGGTTTGGGGGTAGAAATGTGAAATCTCTTCATGTTCCAGGAAGTACTTGTAAGCCTGAAATGATTTTTAGTAGGAGAATTGGTAGTGATTAAAGTTCAAACATCTAATGAGGTGGTTCATCATTATGATTTCGGGAGATAATTTGCTTCGCTGAGTAAGCTGATTCTCTAAACAATAGACAGCATTGAATTGATGATATAGCACAAGTAAATTAGAGAAGGAATTTTTCCTTTTGAACACAAGTTATGACAGAAAATTACACTTGACAATTGGCATCAAAGTGTCATGAGTGGGTGGGAGCCGTGGGACATGAGTGAAAGTGTGGAGCTTCAACTCTCTGCAAGCTGCCTCCTGTAGCCAGATTACGATTATTTCAACAACAAAAAATAATTCTTTTTTTAAACACTGGCGCTGCTATCTTCCTCTAAAATGTAAAGGCAGCAAAAAAAAAACTGCCCCATATCATCTGAAACACCAGAGAAGCAAATATACTACCAAAACTAAAAACATGGTATAGCAACCAAAAAGAGATAATTAAGTCCATCTTCTTTTTGTGACGTCTAGAATTAAGTAGTCACTTACCTTGTCCGGTGAACACATGATGGATAATATTCCTAAAAGAGTAAGTTGAGCTTGTAGCCAACAATGGAGTAGAAGCTAATAACAGAGGTTTTTCTTGTCGATCCATGTAATCCAACTAATTCTATAAATTTAAGAAAAATGGGCAACTAAATCTAGGTATGATATGCAGTCTGTTTTAGTGTTTGTGTGTGTGTGTGTAAACCTTATAGTGATTTCTACACATCAAAATGACTTTCTTTTAGAATGCCATTATTATATCTTGACATAAATGGGAAAAATACAATCCAAAGCTTAGCATTTGGAGGACCTGGACAATGTTTAGTCTATTTACCGTCTCACATTGCTGTTTAGCTTACTGTGGCTAAACTAATGAAACGTCTAAATTCGATGCAATTATTATTGTTAGGACCTACTCCGCACATGATGGTGCAAATGTATTACGGTGGTAGAAATATGCTCACAGGCAGTAATTATTTTGCCTAAGTTGATGATTAATCAGAACAGTGTGACATGCTATTAGCTTAAGAGTGATTTTCTTTTCCAGGTGCACAAAATTGTTGACCTTTCACCGGTGCCGGATCGAGAGGCGATGTGGTATCTAGAAGTTGTGGAGGCATTCAAACTTTTCTATCAGCCCCTCTTAGAGTACAATTCTGAATGAATGTGTCATTTCTGGTTACTCGAGGATCAACATGTAATTATTGTTGCTTCTGCACTCAACGCTTTAATTATTCTTTGTTGAGATGGTTCTTATTGCTTGATTCATAGGATCTCTTTTCATGCTTAGGCAAGGTAAGATGTTTTAAATTTTAAGGGTTTTGCAAGATTCCAGCATTCAAACTGGAGGCTTGGTATTCAAAGACTTGGAAAATGTCTTTTTTTTCTCAGTTTATGACCTCATTGGGCACTGGAAGGCCAAGCCATCACCTGTTGAGCCAATTCAAAGTGACCAAATTGAGTTTGAACTAAAGCACAGGTTTTTATAGAATGAAAAAACCCAATGGAGGGACTTGATACGAATGAGAATTCAGTCCAATTATTATTAACCTGTCTTGAATATGATTGTTAAGGTTGTTTACCAATGTAACACGGCTCGTAATCTAGTGACCAAAGATTTCACAAATTTGGGATGATATGATAAAATTTGGTAAGACAGAGTACTTGGTGCAGGTTTTAATTTTTGAAACTAATTTGATATCAAAATCCAATTGGCTTCTCCTCTGGTTATCGCCTAGCGGGTTTTGTAAGACTCTCAAGGATAGAGTTCATCATTTTTTTTTGGTATGACTCGAGTATTCAAGTGGCAAAATGTAATATACGAAAGGTAATAATTGATTTGAAAGAGACAATCAGCTGGATCAGGATTTACCAAATGGAGTATCAATAAGATAATAAGTAATAGACTAATAGTGTAATAGACGATAAGAAGTGATTCTCTTCTTTTCTTTACCGAAATAGAAGGAAAATTGTGTTCCTTCTCTTTAGTTTATTCCTTCTTACATTTACTTTTTCTTCTACTTTTCTTTTCCTTTCTAGCCAAACTAAAAAAAAACTATTTTTCCTCTTATTTTCTTTACTTTTTCATTTCAAGTTCCTTGTACCATTGTACAAAATTCCAAACTAAAAGAAAACAATAAAAAAGATGATCTAGCCACTATATACCAAAACATAATTCTCGAGTGAAGTAGGAGAGTGAGAATTGAAAGAGGGTGATGCCTTTTTTAATGAGCTAGGTTTTCTCAGTATTAATCTAGGTTTCTACTCTTTACTATTTACACTAGTAATGCCAAAGATGAAGCAAATTAATTAATGGCTTCATTTGAAAACAGTATTTGTGATTAGAGTTCACGTTCTGGATAATTTTTCAAAGATACATATTAACATTTAAAACGTAAATGCTAAAAGCAATCGTTGGATAACATTTTCAAAACACTATAGCTAACTGCTAAAATTAATGCCAAACAAAGCCAATACACATGTCCAAGTCCAATAGATTCTAAGAACTTTCATACAATCACAATCATGATAAAAGTCCAAAGCTTAAGCATCGTTTAAGTCTAGAACGCGTAAGCCTCGAGATACCAACATAAGGCTTAAGCCTTTGAGGCTTAAACCAACCACCTTTAAGCCTCACTGGCTTGAAGTGGACCACCTCAATTGCCCTTGAAAACCATAGAAAAAATAGAAGGGATAAAATTTTCCCATACAGTCCAAGGATGATTGTAAGTCATTTAAAGGATATGAGTCTTCTTCTAAGTAGTCTTAATGACACATCTCTGGCATGTCATGTTTCAAGACTATAACTTTGTGAGCAATTTCCCCACCTATCCGCGCACGCACACGGTTTAGTCTCACTTGATATATTGTTCACAACAGCACAGCAACTTGTGAGCAATTTCCCCACCCATCCGTGCACGCACACGGTTTAGTCTCGCTTGGTATATTGTTCACAACAGCGCAGCAGCTTGTGAGCATCATCTTTGTCAACATGGAATTTCCCCATAGCAGCAGACTCCTTTATTCTGTCCTCTACACTCATCCATTGATTTAAAATCTGTACAATCGAGTTGAGCTACTATGTAGTTAAGGCGAACATACTGAAGTAAAAACAGAAAAATGCTAAAACAGAACCCGGTAAGAGTAGAAATTATATGCCAGATGTTTGTTAGTTCCAAAACAATTTTTGGTACATTGAACCTGTTGTAAAGGATACAGCTGCATTTCTAGCAACTAATCTTGAAAGGGTAGCAGGGCTCCCATGTTCTTCAGGGGAGTGATCATCGAGAAGTTCTTCCTCAATCACTTCTGACTCACTTGTGAATACTGAGACATATTGGTGTAGCTGCAGAGGGCTCACTTCAAGTTTTAACACTTGAGCCAAAAATCTTGCAATGATGCTCCAAAGAGCACTCTTTGCTTCTGCATCCGCTGAGGCAAAAGGGAATATCCTAAATAGACCCTGCAAGAACAAAAGGTCTAAAGGATCTGTGTGTTACCACAGATTGATTCCCAGAAAATGCAAAAATGGTCATAAACTGTTTTTTAGCAGCAAATCATCATACCTTGTGATATTTCTAGAGTTAGATCAGCTGCATCTGTTAGAATATTTGCTATCAAAACAGCTGCAGTAACACAAGAATCAGCAACCTGCAGTAGATGTCTCATTAAAAGTTGATCATATGAGCTTTGATAACTTGCTTCTGTGTATTATCATATTTTATGGAAAAAAAATCAAAGAAAAGAATTGTCCTTGGAGACATGGTCATACATACACCGTGTGAAAGGGCTGTGTGTGAAGGTTAGAGGCTGGTTTACTCCCTGAAAGTCCACACAGCCCATGCACATGCCCATTGGCTACGTGGAAAGCACTGAAGAGAAACATACAGGCCGTGTGCAGCACAAGATCAATTATGCGTAGCTCTGCACGGCTCTGCACATGCTGTGTGCAGGCCGTGTGTGGGTCTCCAACCCTAGTTTGAGATTTCAACATTTTCCCAATGTCAAAGAACCAACTCAACCAAATGTTCAAGGGAGATCTATTATTTGTCCAACCTTAATTTTTTATAACTGGGTGGCGGTGAGTTTCGAATTCGTGATCTCTTAGTCAACAAGGTTTTGATACCATGTGAGATTCTAAGTTAACCAGCTATATCAAAAGCTCAAGCGTGTGGTTACAGCCCCGGTCTGATACTCCAGATATAACTCCTTTTTAGATATCTTTCACCGCCTAGGAGGCTATGAAGAACACACCAATCTTGGAGGATCTCTCTTTCAAGTATTTTGATTAGGAGTAGCCAGTATATCCCTTGAATGGTAGATGTGGCTAATCTCATGACGTAGGGTTTTGATCTTAGCCTTCTTAAGTTTTTTACATGATCTTGTCTAGTTGTCTATGATTATGTTTGAATGACTTAATTGCATCATTTATTAATTTATGCAGCTACTAGATTATAATCGTTCGTAGAGAATTCTTTAGAGATCTATAGAACTCGACACCCTCACACACACCTTTCACGCACTAGAGATTCTCAGGAAAGGGAACACAATATACTCATTCCGAATGGTTCGAAATATGCGCTAAGAGGCAGTATTGTGGCAAAACCTTGTCCCCTACATTGATAGATTGAAGATTATACTTCAATTGTAGTCATCATGTATGAACCCTAATCAATATCTCAATTGGAGAAAGCCCCAGAAGCTGGAACTGATCCTGACTTCCTCTCTTCATTATTATGGTCTCCGTTTAATTATTCAATCAATTTGTAGCTTACTAGTTTTAGTATAATTCATTATCGCCATGCTTTTTATTTTATTCTTTTCTATATTACCAAAATCCTTTGAACTCAAGCACTCGAACTTCCTTCCGACTATCCCATAGGAAAAGATACTCAGTCCCCTATACTAAATCGTTTAGATGCGTGTTTTGGAGGGATCAACATCTCACCCTCCCTAGACCCTACTTGCACTTCCAAGTCGGATATACAAGGTATGTTAGGCTTTGGCTGGTTTAGTCAGCATCATTTCTATTTTTCATGCTCACCTTCTATTTTGCATTTCTTTAATAACTATGGGGAAAAGTACTATGGTTACATCACTAAGAAAATTTGTGAAAAGCTACTACATACCTCAATTTTTTCAGGCACTTTGATTAGGTCGGTAAGTAGTACAAAAAGTTCTTTATCTGCGCAGATTTCTTGTGAAGATTCATCCATGACAGAAAGAGCCTCAATGGTCTGAAGTACCAAATCAAGAATATAGTACCTGCACAAAGTATTAATGGATCAATAATACCCAATATTGATTTGGTATAAAGGACATCTTTATAGTACTAGACTGGACCGAGCCTGTATATATTGGGTATATATGTCGGGTATTTTTTTGACAACCATTGCAGCATAAGGGACATCTTTTTGAACTAACATTCGATTGTTTTGATAGAACACCCGATTGTCTTGAGAGAACAATCGATTGTCTAGGCCAAAATTCTGCAACAGGTAGTGATTTGATTGATTTCTACCATATAGACACTCCAACGGCTCCAATGATTTTTAGCTATAAAAATGGGTCTTTACACACTCTTGAGTGAAGGTATATTGTGAAGAAAAAAAGAACACCACACCGATTTTGGTGTTTCCCACCGGATTTAAAAGGAAATGGGTCTTTACACTCAGTTTTCATTACCTATCTTTTTTTCCCATTGTTTTGCTTTACTCCAAGTGTTAAACGATTTCAAATGCTTTTGTTGAGCCAAAGTCATTTAAATTGAGGAGCTATTTACATTGCATTCATAGTTCAACTGATCGACTTTGGGAGGCAAGTTACTTATAGTTGTTTGTTTTTTAAAAAATAATTGAGAACCTCTTGTAGTGGTTGAAGGTGTGGTATGGTATCCGTCCACGGGTTTTTACTCTTGTTGTAGCATACTGGCATACTTGCCTAGCTTGTGTGACTCATGTTATCGTTTAAAATGGTTTGTCAAGCACTCGTAAGCTTAATAGGTAGCGGAATCCCAAGTGACTCACTCAGGCACAGGACTAGCCCCAACTTGTGGGGATCCAGGATAAATTTTTGTGCTCTTTGCTCATTACTTTCTGCACATAATTTTAAATTTTTGCATCTTTACTCATTGAAAATTTTACAAGCACTCAGATCATCAAGAAATCAAATCATTATTGTCTAAATCCCAACTAAGTTGGGGCAGGTGGCATGGAAGTTAGTGTCAACCAATTATCTAAAACTAGTTCAGCCTACAATTCATGAAAAGAAATAGTGTGGCAAAACGTAATGTTGGATTCCCTTCCTATTGCATCCTTTTAGAGAATTAGTGAGAAGAAAAATACAAAATCATCAGTGTCTCAAGTTCTTTCACTTGCATAGACAATATAATAAGACATATGAGTGGAGACCTGAGAGAGTTACTATAGTCATGTTTCAATGCACATCATGAAGCATCACTGGTTTCTAAAAAATGCAATACTATAAAAATTGACTTTTTTCGAGAGTGAAAACCTAAATGTTAAAATGAAACAAACCCCATTTACCTTTCAGGCAATCGCTCTTCCCTTAATTTGTGCATCTCAAAGGAAAAGAGGTCAACCAAAAGACGCAGGAGACCCAACTTCATTAATGGTGGTTGAAGAATCACAGCGACTTGCTTACTTTGCAAAGCTGCTAGGAGCAATCCAACACTCTGTTTAATTGTGGAAAATCAAATAACACAAAGATAAAACAAGCTGACTTGTCAAGACTTATGGAAGTGAGAAATGCAAAGCATTCTAGCGTGTGCAAGATACGATAAGTTTTCTAAATCAGTAACAGCCACTTTTCATTTTACTTTTTACTCTCTTAGATTTTAGTGAAAAGTAAATTCATGGAAATAAATAGGAAGCACAATTAAGAGTGGAGGGCCAGTAGTAACCAATCCTACAAATCCAACACTCTAAAAATAGCACAAGAGCGACGGACAAACCCGCACTGCACAGCCAAGAATAAACAAAACAAGAAAAATATAATGCTCCATACATAATCTAGATTCTAAGATCGCTTTTCCAGATCAGTTACCCAAAATGAGCCTAAACCTGAGAAAGAAAATCATTTCCAAATCCAACTGATGAAAACCAAAAGTAATAAAAAGTTCAAGAGGGCCAATTAAAACAAATGTCCTCTAGCAGCAAAAGAGCCAACAATGTGGTTGCAGTTGTAGAGCAGTAGAGCACATGACAGTAGCCACCTCTTCCACCCGATCGAGGCATTGATTACCAATACTTTATGTTAAGGCCCTTACTCAATATGACTTCAGAGTCATTCCAAAGCACCCTATCACACCAAAGCAAGCAATCAATTTGTGATTTTGCCACCCGACTCCAACAAGTCACCAAATGCATTTCTCGCTTTTGAAAGAGAGAATTGGCGATCCCCAAGTCACTAGCAAACTCCAATAGTGATACCCCCGCCAAAACCAAACCCTTGCACATCGTCATCATCGTAAACTCTGGTTATACTCCTGATGAAACCATTGAAATTGTCACCTACGATGAGCTTTTTAGATTGTGAGATGCCCCCTACTGGCTACCCTACCACCAAAGTTGTTACGGCGGCTAGGTGAGGTTGGGTGCTAGAGTACCTTCCAATCGCCTAGGCGATTAGGCGCCAGGCTAGGCGTCCCCTGGGCAAGTGGGCTATGGCGACCTTAATAATTTGATAGATACTAATGTAAAAGCATATAGTATGAAATAATTAAATAAAAAGTCCATTGATACCAACATTATGTAACAAAGAATTAAACTATATATATATATATATATATATATATATATATATATACATACATACATACATACATACATATATATATATATATATATATATATATGGACCAGTTCCTGTGAGAATGGACCTTGGTGAAACAAATGAGAAGGGTGCATTTTTGTTCGCCAATGGCGCATTTTAAAAAGTATGTAGTTCATCATGGTGCATTTTTCAAAGCAGGTACTGCATTTTACAAAGTTTGGTTGAATTACAAAATTGCCACAACATTTTTTTTAGTTTTTTCACATTTTTCAAATTTTTATGACCCTCAAATCTCACGTTCTAAAGCACTACATGCATTCTCATTTCTTTCATAAGATTTCATTATCACTAAAACCATATATATATATATATATATATATATATATATATATATATATATATATATATATATAAAAGCCTACTCCAACAAAAGTAAACTTTTAAAAGGCCTAATAAATCTTGGGCCTTATACTCTTGTGTAAAGGTCCAATGGTCTTCTAATGAATCTAGCCCAACTATTTGACCTAGTCGGCTAGTCTAAATGATAGATAGATAGAAAGAGACAGACACGGGAGGGTTTGGAGGTGGCAACAGGTCTGGAAGCCGCTGCAGCTGGCGAAAAATAATCGGCGAGAAAGATAAGTCTTCTTCCTATATTCTCCTCCTCCTACGTCTTCTCTCTATCTCGCGCGTTCCCCAGTGTTTCTAAAACGGAGACGAAGACGACAACCACTGACGTTTCCGTGCAACACAAAGTCGCCCAGGTAAAAAAAACTAGGCGACCAATCTGGCATCCACAAAGCCTCGTGCAGACGCTTAGGCATCGCCTAGGTGACGCCTTGATAACTATGCCTACCACCCCATCCAGCTCCACCCAATGACAAATCATTTACTCCCAACGACTATGTTGGGAATTTGATTAAATAAGTAAAAAGGAAAAAAAGAAAAAAAATACAAAACAAAGAAAACGAAAATGACCTAATGCATTGTATGTGCAAAGGGGGTGTATGCATGCATTTGATGTGGAGAGGAGTTGTAGGTTTTTATGTTGGTTTCCTTTGGAATTGATGGCATAGCATATATTTTCTCTCTATCTCTTAAGGTCCCTTCAAAGACTTCAATACTACAGAGTACTATAAGATTGGGAGTATTAGAGTGGTTTTGTGTGTGTGTGTGTGTGGGTTTACACCACCAAGAGAGAGAAAGAGAGCACAAGGAGAGGTTCTACACAAGAATACCATCGGGAAAATCTAAGGGGTCTTGGTGAGTGTGGGTGAGTGTGGGGAGTAACTAGTATTTAGTTACTCGTAAAAATACATCCAAGCATAGGATGTGGGAAAGTCTATTCATGAGTGTCTAGAATTTAGCTTTGTAAACATGGAGAGAGTTTTTTGAATATTGTCTAGAAATAGTGAAAATATAATTTTTCTCATATATTCTTCTTGTGTTTGTTCTCTCATTTCTGGCATTCTCAATATTTTTCGGTATTTTACGTGGTTAAAATCCCAACAATTGGTATCGGAGCTTAGTTACGCTGGGCAGGAGGGATTTGTATGTGGTAAGAGGAGAAATTTTGGGAACCCGAGGATGGCCGGTTCAGGCAGGTAAGTGACCTTGGGGCAAAGGCCACGGTGTGCATGAATGTACATCAAGAACAAAGTGGATGGCATGGTGACCGGATATGAAGCGGCATGTTGACTTTGTGTAGTATGGTACAGGTACGACTGGTGTGGTCTAGTGGAGATCTACGGTTTATGTCTTGTTTTGAAAGTCTTCCCGACAAGAAAAGATGGTCGTGCGGCGATGCAAGGTGGGTAAATTGAAACTAGATAATTGATATAGGGGCGGTCTTGGAGTTGTGGGGTCTTAGTGCGAAAAAAAGGTGAGTTTTCGTTTTTTAGCTTGGTGGATGGTTGAAATTCCTACGGAGTGCTAAAGTAGTGGCGGTGATTTTGACAGATTGGTCGAGGTGGAGCCACAGGTACAACGACAAGGTGGCGGTGACCTTGTGGTATTGAACAAGGTGGAGCCACGGACGTAACACATGGATCTTGAGGCATTGAGCAAGATAGGTTCACAAGCAAATTTTCAAGGTGGCGTCGATCTCGGTGGAGCCACGAGGATCTTTTCTTTCTTCTTTGAGGTTGGCGATGATCTCGAGGAGCAAATCGAGATGGAGCCAAGGAGATTTTTTTCTTTCGGTGCAACGGTGATCTCATGGGACAAGTGAGGTGGAGTTACAAAGTTTTTTGGCTATTTAATCAAGGTGGATTTTGTTGGGAATTTGATTAAATAATTACTCCCTCCGTCCCCCTGTATTTGTCCACTTTCATTTTTACACACCATCCAATGCACTTCTTTAATCCATTTTATCTTGTACTTTGTATATTAAAAAATTATAAAAATTATATATTAATAATCTATATGTTAAGACAAATCAAACAAGATCACACATGACGATATTTAGGCTTACACATTGAGAGAATTTGATGAGTCAAAGTGCTTAAATGAACAATTTCAAAAGTCAAATGTGGACAAATACAGGGGGACGGAGGGAGTAAAAAGGAAAAAGAAAAATAATGACAAAGAAAGAAAATGAAAATGGTCTAATGCATTGTATGTGCAAAGGGGGATGTATGCATGCAACTGATGTGGAGAGTTGCAGGTTTCCTTGGTGGTTTCCTTTGGAATTGATGGCATAGCATATATTTTCTCTCTATCTCTTAAGGTCCATTCAAAGGCTTCAATACTACGGAGTACTATAAGATTGGGAGTATTGGAGTGGTTTTGTGTGTGTGTTTGGGTTTATACACTACCAAGAGAGAGAAATAGAGCACAAGGAGAGGTTCTACACAAGAATACCATCGGGAAAATCCAAGGGATCTTGGTGAGTGTGGGTGAGAGTAAGGAGTAATTGGTATTTAGTTATTTGAAAAAATACATTTGAGCATAGGATGTTAAAAGGTTTGTTTATGAGTGTCTAAAATTTAGCCTTGTAAACAGGGAGATAGTTTTTTTTTGTATATTGTCCAGAAATACTCAAAATGTAATTTTTCTCCCATATATTCTTCTTGTGTTTGTTCTATCATTTCCTGGCGTTCTCAATATTTTTCGGAGTTTTATGCGCTTAAAACCCCAATAGACTATGAGAAGTTGGATCAAAGAATATGATCACATGATCAAATACAATAAAGCATCCACAATTTGTACCCATCCCTTAACAATTCCTTTGATAATAATGCAAGCATAGGAAACACATCACGCTAGAACTATGGAAGCACTAAAGAAATAAAAACCATAACATAGAGGATGAAAGATTTAGAGATTACATCATACCTTATGAATCAGTTGTAGGTTTAAAGTATTTTCCACAATCCATAGCATTCGAGATAATAAACGCTCAGATCTCAAAGCCTCTGCCCAAAGAACCCTCTCATCCCCTTGAAGACATAAAGTAACTACCCTGCAAAATAACATCATAAGGATGTTGACGACTAGATAAATTATATATTGGAATTGAATTTGAGTTTTCTAAATAAAACAACAGATTAAGTGATTGAGAACAAGAAAACATCTAAGATAAAATTCATCCCTTAAGGTGAAAGTGATCCTACTCGGTGCTAGGTAAAAGGAAGATATAGATGAATGGGTGGTAGCCTGGTAGCAAAGTTAACATTTAATGTTCTTAACTACAAACTAACAATAAAAGCATGAAAGAGTAAAATGTAATCTACCAAGGTGATTGGTGAATTATTTGACTAAACATTGTAAAATCTCGGTTGCACTACTCAACAGGCAAAACCTGATTAACAGTAGGGTTATCTTTGAATTTTCAGTTGTAGTACCGGCATGTTTCACAAAGGCACGGTATGTCATCAAGAAACAGCTGCTCCAAAACTACTTCAGTCAATCCATTTGTGGAAGTAATCATCTTCCTGGATAGTTCATGGCAAGCTAGGTTTCCAATGATTCCCAGGCTAATTTCCTTTTGAAGTACATTCATGTCAGGAAAGCCAAAACATCCAAATGCATGTAACTATTACAAACCCATCCACGTAAAATGTAAGAGACAAAATTAAATTAGAAATGTCAGTATGTCACTCACTGTCATTCGCACAGATTTTGAAACCACAAGAGAGGAAAAGAGAACGTCAAGTATAAGGTTTTGAACCTGTATTTGAAAAACACAGTATCTAAGAACTGCAGAGATGACTAAAAGTGTGTGGGGGAAGGGATAGAGTAACTGCAGCCATTAATAAATAAATAAATTAATAAATTAATAAAACAAAAAGCATCTTTAACACTTTGACTCTCAGCTTTGGTCTATAAAATGCCAAAGACTATATAATCTAAGAGGATCCTGTAATATATTTGATTCTATGATCAAGTGTCACAGGAGCCAATAAAAAAAATGAAGCTCGCACTGGATCAACTACAAACTTGAGTGTCTCAATACTTTACCATGAAAACAGGGTTAACACACTACTCCCCAAAAAACCAACCAAGAACCAGCATAGTGTTAAGATACAGAAACTGGAAAAAAAACAAAAAAAAACTCAAGCACCATGAATTCAGCATGAGGTTGACTTGCTGCAAGATCCCATAAAATACAACCGTACTCTTCCCAGGCCTCTTCTCGTGCTGCCAACCCCTTCTCTGTACTTCCACAGCAGACAACATCTAATCTGTGAAATTTCTCTACTTCATCAACATCATTAGCAACATCCAAAAATTTAGTTTCATCATCTGTAGACATCCCTTCACAATTTTCAGATGCAGAAACTGAAACGGTCTTCAATTCTTCAGTTTTTTGTTCTCCAGAGATATCTCCATCTTTGTCGTCTATTGGTAGGAGTTTTCGTATCAAAGATATTACATAACCGGGATCAACAGTTGTTGATATATCAAACAGCTGCCGCATAAATACATTTCACAATTATAGTACTGGTAAAATGTTAAGAATTCAGCATTAATATACTAAATATAAATTCCCTCAACGACAAACATTTCTAGTATGGTACTGAAATGTACCCATGTGTGGGAACTGGGACCTGATCCTCTTAGGAAGTTTTAAAGGAAGATTTCTTTAGTTGAACTGTGCCTAATGTTGCTTTAGTTAATTCTAGATTTCCAGTTTGGAATTAACAACTAGTTAAATGATTTAATGTCTTCAAAAAAAATTTGGCATTTCTAGAGTTTAAGTGTTTAACAGTATTAATGGATTCTTACAATCAAGCAATCTAGTTTCTTAGTCAATTGAGATTGAAGACAAATTCATGACCAAAACCCTTCAAAACAGATTAAAATTGATCCTAAATGACTAGTATTTGTACATTTCAATGCCATTGTGTACCTTACTTCATAGTGATTCATTCTTTTCCTTGTTTGTAACACATGGAATACATAATTGTATTTACTAGAGTTTTAGCACAAGCATTCAAAAAAAGCTATCAATGCCATGAGAACGTGCTAATAAAGCTATAAAAAGAATATGGGGTACTCCGTAACAATATACACATAAACAAATCTATTTAAAATGGTACAAGTTCACACTAACAATGGCATAACCAAGGGGATGCAGGGGGTCACACGCCCCCTTTCACCCCTACACATCCCTAGATCCCATATATATAACCATATATACTCACACAGGTAAGAAAATTTGTATGTATAATATGGATATAGAACAAGTATATAGGTGTTCATGAAAAGGAAAAGCTGTCTACATAAGTAGTATGCCAAGAGCGTGAGTCTACTGATGGATGTTATGTTTATTTCTTCTTTCATAAATTTATATCACTTACTAAAGAGCAGCATTTTAGTTAACAATAGTCGCAGCAAGGTAAATCAAAAGCTCTTACTAATTTACCCATTAAAACACATGAGTTAAGTCTCTCCATGAATACCTTTTATTACTTCTTTTTTGCTTTGTTTGAAAGCTCACAATAATAAATAAATTAATGTTTTGAAAGTTTCAATTAATTGCACAATTTGGGAGATAAATGCGTTAACTTCAGAGCGGTAGTGTTCCTATGAAACTAGCTAAAATTTCAACCTCGTCACTTCTCCAATGCATTCTGATAACGCTAATGAATACCTTGAATCCCTATGCATAACAGAATTCCTCAATTTCGTAGTATACATAAATATAACTCGGCTAAACTCCACTATTGGTCCTTCAACTTTATCAGTTGTGCACGATTGGTCCTTCAAGTTTCAAAAATCCATAAATAGTCCTTCAACTTTATGAGTTATGCACGATTGGTCCTTCAAGTTTCAAAAGTCCATAAGTAGTCTTTCAAGTACACGTCAGCCCTCCAGATGGGATTCTTTTGACGGTAAACGTTAAAAGCTTAATGGAGTACTAGCTCCATATAATACGGAGTAGTCATACTTAGTGGAACTTTCTCGTATTATATTAAACTAGCATTCCATTTAGCTTTTAATGTTTAGGTGTACTACTTATGGACTTTTGAAACTTGAGGAACCAAATGTCTATTTATGAATTTTTGAAATTTGAAGGACTGCACAACTCATAAAGTTGAAGGACCAATGTTGTATTTTAGCCAAAATAACTCCAAAGGTAGATACAGAAATTGGAAATAGACACAAAGAGGCGAACCCTAATTAGGAAATGCTAACATACGCGCCGCAGATAAAGTTAAAGCAAAACCTCATCAGATGGAGGAGGAGGATGGTGAGTTAATGATGGCAGAGATTCTTGTTCTGCTCCATGCTTGTCTTCCGATGGTGACTCTGTGGAGATGATCACGTTCATCATGCAAACCGGCTAGACTTTTTGAAGCAGAACCGCATTTACACAGCTCAATTCCAGAAGAAACTGGGGCCTCTGTTCGAAGTTCGAACGGGAAAACGAGTTAAATGAATGATCTCATCTCTCACCCGTGCGTGGGCTGTCATGAGTACTAGGGTACACAAAAGTGTACCACACCACCCTCTTTTCTTCCACACATTTTTATTTGATTTTTATATACTTACTTTTTTTAAAATTTTTTTTGCCTTTTTTGGTGGACAAAGAGGGGGTGGGTGACATTTGGGGTACATCTTTGGTGTACCCCTAGCATTTTTCCTGTAGTCATTCATCTCTCACCGGTGGACTGTAGTGAAGAGTATGATAGTGTATGATTAGTGAAGAGTATAAAAAGATTGGGATCGAATTACGGATGGCAATTCAACCCGAACCCGAGCTTAACTGATCCGACCGACTATTAAAATATCTGAATCCGAACCGAAAATAAAATAATCCGAACCCGACCCGAAATTTTTTACCCGAACCCGACATCGGGTCGGGTCGGGTGTGGATTTATAATTTTGCCTGACCCGACCCAAACCCGAACCCGACCAGACTAAAACCCGAATATTTTATTACATAAAAGTCTATCTATGGATATAATGAGCACTCCGTAAAATCTCTTGACAAATTGCTACTATATGAAGTATGTCTTTTATAATCATTTTTATAATCCCTTAATAAAAATGAGACATAAAAAAAGAGACACAAAAAAATTAGATTTAATCTTTTCAAAATTATTGGGGTACGTCGAATTGATTATTGGTTAAAAGTCGGGATCGGGTCGGGTTCGGGTTTCGGGTTTGGGTCGGGTGGGATTATTGGCTTAAACGATTGGGTTTCGGGTCGGGTTCGGGTTTCGGTTTTACAAGTCGGGTCGGGTTCGGGTATAGTACTATCCGACCCGAACCCAACCCGTTGCCATCCCTAGATCAAATAAGTCTTTGATACTAGTTAGTCCAAGACAATGTTTCTTACTCCTTAATATTTATAGAGGAGTAGGATTAGTCTAAGACTAGTAATGAACATGTTAGAAGCTGGACCGATCCGAGACTAGTAAATGATTGATCTAAAGACTAGGATTAGTCCAAAAAACTAGTCCTCCAGAGTCTAATCATATTCCTTATAAATTACGAAGTATATATGGAGTAGTACGTATTGAAATCTTTAAAAAATAATATAGAGTAATACAAATTAGAAACGATTAATATTTCTTGTCTTCCCCTATCGCCTAAGTATTTTCTTAGAGTTTCAGGATAAACTCAAACATCGCAACACTCTGTCTTAGAGCAGTAGAGCTAGTCCTTGGAGATCTAATACCAGATTACCAATTCTTGGAGATTTATTTTAAATTCAAAATTGAATTTTAAATAAATAGGCACAACTCTTTGAAAAGACATGTTTATTCTTAATTGACATAACTCTTGAATATTTATTTTGAATTTAAATTGGAAGTTTTTAATTAAATGGGTGTCTCTTACAAAAGAGACATGATCTTTTATAAAGGGGCATATCATATTATGAAATAATGTATTTATTTCTTATATTTATTCTATGATGATGAAATATTAATTAGTGTATTTTTCTGTGTTTTTTCGTCTCCTTTCTCTCGAGACAAGTCTCGTTAAAGTACATTAACAAATTGTTTTGTAGAGCAACCGAACAATTTGGTCTTCTTCATTGCATTTCAAAAGTTCTATCTTGTAACGCTTGTTACTTACTAGACTCGTGCCCGTGCGATGCACGGACTATTAATTGACATATAATTACTCAATGTTTTGAATAAGGAAAAATGTTACAAAAATTTGAAAGATTAGAGGAATTAAATCATCGTCCATGGATAGAGTTATCGTTCCGATCCTATCCCGATACTCTCTTCTCAGAATACTAATTACTTTTGTTATCAGCCGTCCGACTTCACCATTGTTAACTTTGAGAATGGATCAAATCCATCTCTCGACTTCACCATATGTTTGTATGTATGTAAAATGTAAAGGAAACACCATTGTTGTGGAGAGCTAGATGCTCAATGAGAAATAGAAAGATTGAATGAGAAATAGAAAAGTGGAAATGTGAGGAGTTCTGGTGTTGGTGAATCAGAGAATGACCTATTATTTATACTATCAGGATTTGTGAGATTGGTATGAGATATAATGTTGGATTTGACACAAAATTACTTTTTCATTTCTTTTATGGAGCCACTCAATTTTTTTCCCAAAGCAAATTATGGAACCACTAAAAATAACTTTATGGAACCACTAAATTTTTGTTCCCCAAAAATTGTGTAAATCTTACTATTTAATTGATTAGATGGAAAGCATTGTTATGACACACTTCACATAAACATTATTACATTGCTTTATAGAGCTACGCACCAAGCCGTCAAACGCAACCCCATAAAATGTTAGCAGCATGTCCAATCCAGATCTAAAACTCAACCCATGTCCAACAGCAAGATCCGGCCCAATTGATGGTGTAGAAATGGCGGGAACACTATTCATAAGGTCCTCCTACCATTGTATATAGGAGGATAATAGGATAGATAAGAAACTTTTAGGAAAGCGTTTTCAAGTATCACGCCTTGAAGGTTTATCCGATTAGCTTAACCAACCATGTTTTGAACTACGTGTGGCTTGATCCCCTTCATTGGGGTACGTAGACAACATAGAATATTTTGTTTTTCTAAGTGCAGTCACAATAATAAAATTATTTTTTATTGTTCCAACATTACGAAGTACCAATTACCAACATAGAAAATTGAATAGACATCTTATTGTTGGATAGAGGAAGAGAAGGTAAATCAGCAGAGGGGTAGTACTATGGTTGTACCATGACGATTAAGCGACAGAAGAGAAAGAGAATCAACGATTGAGCAAGCGAAGTGCAACATGCAATCTCGACCGATGCGAAAAGAGTTGATTGACTATTTGGTAACCCTGGTACAACATCGCAAACTGTAATCTCGACCCAATATATATTGGGACTAGAGACCGGACCGGATTGGACTACCGACCAGACTAGATTGGCATATGGTCTTATTTGGTCTTTGATTTTGATAAGAAGACCGCATCGGTTCTTTTGCTCATCTCTATGTATGATAATAGTAAATAAAAAAAGTATTCTAGTATAAGCATATAAAAAACTTAATTCTAATATAAAGATTAAAATTATTACATATCCAATATGAAGATAAATGGGAAAAAATTGCATTTATAATAAATTAACTGTTTTAGAACATTTCTTTGTAGACAATATTCATTGTGTTATTCAAAGTTGCTAGGTCATGATTGTAAATTAAGACCAACTACAACTCACGTCAATTGGTTACTCGAGCTGAGAGATGACAACATATAATTGTTTATGACTAAAAATTGGTATCTTGAGTAATAATCCCACATGCTTAAATGATTGGTCCTAACTTTTGTTAAGCGTCATTGTGTATGACATCATAATCAAAAGATTACGTATGAAGGAGTGAGCGAAAGTGGAGGAATCACTACTTCGTGCACGGTATTCTTACCAGTTACCACCCATCACTTTCCCCTGAATCAAATGGGTCCCAATCTTGTAATAATCAATCTAGTTCCATTACACAATTTATGACCTTGAGTGAGAGCACTATTATTTTATCTCAGAAAAATAATTTGAGCCGAAGGCAGTGAATTTAACATGAGGCCGGTTCTAGAGCCACTGGAATCCAGTGGCTACGGAAGCCACTGCCCCCTACGAAGCTCCGTTCATGAAATTGATGATTCCTACCCCCTTAACCCCCCCAGTAAACCCCCCACCAAGTCTCGACCCAAACTACTCCCCCACCTACGTCAATTGCACATCGCAAGTTTAGCATTTTTTACCAAAAAAGATCAAAAGTGGACAAACACTCCCGGTGGAGTAATATGTTTTGAATAAATATGAGAAATGAAAATTTTTATTATTAAAAATGAGTATTTGTGCTCATGTATGAAAAACATCATAGGGATTTTACATAGCCCACCAATTGTAGCCTACTTTGTAACGGTCGATCTTCCACAACATTTTCACTATTAGGCTTTCTTACCAAGTCCATGGAGACCCTAACTCTTGTGGTATGTTTGGATGAGAAGAGAAAATAAGAAGAAAGAAAACAAGGAGAAAGAAAATGAAGATAAGAGAAAATAAAGAGAAAAAACATATTATTTGGATAAAAGAAAATGAAGAGAAAATAGGGAAAAAAAGAGATGATGCCATCTTTCCTTGGTTTAGTTGGAGAGAAAGGTAAAAAGAAAGAAGAACATAGATGATATCATATTTCTTCTTTTTCTTTCTTCCCTTCCTTTCTTTTTTCCTTTTTTCCCTTAGCTTCTCCCCCGCACATCTTTTTTCCCTCCCCTTCTCTCTATTCTTTTTCTCACCTCACTCTAAGAGCAGTGGTCCCAGCCATGTTATGCTCACTTTGACGCCGGGGCGTTAAACACCACCCTCTCCCCCGTTATCGGAGCGTTAAAACTCCTGCAACAAAGTTTTGACGCGATTTGAAGGCGTTATAGCGCCTTCTTCCTTCTTTTTTCTCCATCTTTTTTCCTCTTTTCTTCTCTATAAATTAAATTAATTTTTCTTAAAATTGAACACAAATACAAATTTCTCTCTATCTATCGTCTTTTTTTTAAAAAAAATTACTATTCAAGTATTTTTTTATTTTTTCATGAATGTAATTTTTTATTTAATGAACGTAATTTTTTTATTTTATAAATGTAGTTTTTTATAATGAATGTAATTTTTTTATTTAATGAATATAATTTTTATAATGAATGCAATTTTTTAATGAACTATTCTCGTTTCAATTCTTTTAAATAATTAAATTTAATTAATTTAATTTTAGAAGATGTGTATTTAAAATGTAAAAAATGAAGGTTTGAAACCCCAGTTTGAAGCCTCGAGGCTTCAAACCCATTTCCACTAAAACTGTGAGGTAAGTTAAAGCTGACGTGACAGAGAGAAGGCTTGAAGCCCCGGGGCTGGGTATTTCCAGTGCCCTAACCATTTTTTTCACTTTCCCCTCTTCCACATCACTATTTCTCGATCTTTAAAATTATGTTTCAGATTTTCTTGATGGCATACTAACGAAATACTGCATACAACCTCCCAAGAAAAGTAGAAAACTACGCAACAATATGCCGTTCTCCATAATGTATAAAGATTTTTTTGGGACCGATAGAATGAATCTAATTTTGCACAAACGGTAAATATGTATTTAAAAACTTTATAAACTGAACACTTTTTGTCGACTACTTACAGAGGAGATGACTTTAGAAAAGATTTGAAAAGTGTGAAAACTTCTGATGGGGATGAGGACGGAGTAAAATGAGATCCTCCTCTCACTGATGCAAACGTTAAGTATGTGACGTTTTTCCCTTCTCTTAATCTTCCAAATGCTTCACTCCATCCCCCAACCTACAAAGAAGTAAATTGGAAATGTCATTTAACTGTTCTTTTTAACCCTTCCATTCCAAAATAAAATTTACACTTTTGAGTCTGTTTTAAAACAATGCCTTAATTTACTAAAGCTCATGGAAAGAAGCAGTTTTTGCTCTTAAGGCCAAGGGTTTGGTCATATTTGAAATATGTAAACATTTTTAAAGCTTGAGCAAGATGATGCAGAAAAATAGAGGTAAAAAAAATTAAAAATGGTACCAAAAACTATAGTGGGCAATCCAGGCATTACCTGAGGGCCATTATACCATGGTCTATTCTTCTGTGTATGGATGAGCTTCAAGTTTTCAGCGAGCATGTTTGCAAATTTCCGAGTCTCCAAGGTAGGAACATTTATAGCTTGATCTCCACTATATAGGAATTGAAGAGAGTGATGATGAGTGTATGTATTTACAAGGTGTATTATAAGTTCATGAAATTTTGTAAATCCCAAGCTCGATCGTCTCAAATCATAAGAACATAATCTTACTCCGTAGTATTTTGTCAGAATTAGTCACCTGTAAAGCAAGACTCGGATATGTCTCTTTAAAAGTGATGAGAGTGCACGCAAGTTTTTAGTACTATATGCGTCCACCACAGGCCACAGATGCCTGCATTTTTCAGAATGTGTTTATTTAATGTTCTTAATTAGCACGCAATACAATTGTTAGTTCTCCAATCGGCTACAATAGTGATGAATGTGAGTTGATAAGAAAAATTACCCTTCACATTCATCCCATTTATATGGCAAGTGGTGACTGTTGTTGATGTGTAAAGGTTTTTGAACATCTAGCCTATTTATATAGACCTTTGCGTAATCATAGAGGCATGGATCGCCAATGATGTCTTCACTAGCCACCTTCATAAAATGAAAAAAGTTTAGTTACAAGTTGTTGGTATTTGGTAATCAACAAAATTAAATATAGAATCAACAAGTTTGCCTGCCTTGTCCTCCAGCTTGAATATTATTAAGATTCTCAAGTTCACAATGTAAAAGTACAAGCATTAGCTTGCGTTTTTTGTAGGCAGGCTTTAGCGAGACAAGCCAATACTCGGACACATGATAAGATCTATGTAATGTTATCTTGTTGATGCTTTTAGTGTCATCGAACTACTTGGATAATTGGATTTATTTTAAGAGTAGATGTGAAATCATAATATTTATATGAGTTAAGAGGTGTTGACTGTTGAGTTTAGTAAACCTCATTGATGAATAAATCTGAAAATGACAATTAAAATTTAACTCATTTTTGCGACAAGGTCAACTAAAGAATTTACCTTGGAAGGCAATTAGAAGTTTAGAAGTTTAGTTTTGTTAATAACTTATTATATTTTAGGACATGGTTGTTCGTCGGCTGGTAGTTCTATATTTGATGGAAATGGTCCATTTAGGTCAAGAAAGGATGGGAAACTAATACATAACGCCTTCTCTTGGAACTTAGGTATGTGCTCTGTATTACTCTCTCCTCATATTTTACTTTGTACTCATTTCATCTATTCCAGCATATTTGTTTAATTTTTCTTTCTTTTTTTCAAATCGATGAACTTGAATTATTATTATTAATTAAATAAATAAATATTTCATGACAGATTAATACAATGGAATAATTTTTTGAAAATATTTTATAAGATCAATGTAATAAAATCATTTACATATCAATATGCAATGCAATTTTTATTTAACTCAAATTCAATCTTTGTTCAATTGGACATATACTATGATAAAAATATCATATTCCAAAATTAGATTTTTAAATGAACCCAATGGTATTGAATATACAGTATATTAGAGAAAACAATATTTTCCGGATTTAAAATCACGTGTTACTTTTGGTTAAATCGATCTTTAATATGGTACAAAAGCATTGCTGATCACAAGTTCAAATCTCACCATCGTCTGCATATTAGGGTGCATATTAGGGAGTGTGTTAGAATATACTCCCTCTGTATCAAAATAAAAGGGAAAGTTTGGATTACGGTGTTTGATTGAAGTTATTTTCAGATCAATTTTGATTAGAGTTGGTATAAAAAAATTGTATATTTAAAAACTACATTAAAAAATCTATAAAACAAAAATTTGTTGGGTTATTTAGTGAAGGCTTTAGAGCTTTGGGCTTTAAGCCCGGTCGGTTAAAGAGAAGAAATATGGGGGGCCGGTTTTAGTTATTAATTAAAGGGCCCATTAGTTGTTTCTTGTTTAGCAAGTTGTTAACCCTAATTTATATCTTATAAATACCCAATCATGTAACTATAATCTGTGAGCACCTAATAAAAGA